CAGAATTATGCTGGCCGGCCCGAGTTATAAAAATTACACTGCGCAGTCTCTCAAAAATTCTGCGCAGCCTGCGCAGTGGCCCATCCCTAGTTTTAAGGGTTATAGAGTTTATAATGATTATAACGTTTATAAGAGAGATAAACGTTATAAGGGTTTTATTGAATTTAATGGTTTTATTCATTATATCTGATATTTATTATAAGGGTTTTAAAAGCGATAAACGTTATCGTCAAACCCATTGTTCCAACAAGTATATAAGCGGGCAATTCTTCCCTTTAATAAAAAAATCACTTAACTGATAAAATTCTTTGCCTCATAAATAAATTGTCGAAACCTTTCTTTGATCCATAAATTCGCTAAACAATTCTAACCACATTTCGCTAAATCGTACAAATTTGCACCCGTTTAACGTCACGCTGCCCAATTACTCTTCGAATAAGAGTAAAGTGTCGTTAAGTCATTGAGTAAGAGAGAACTTGCCCGGTAAATCTTGTGTTTGACTATCCTAAGAGAGAGAATAGGTCAACTTGAATAGATTAAGGGAAGTTAAGAGACTCAATAACGTTAAGACCAACCACGTAACCGGAGTCCGAACGATAACCGAAGCCTTGGAAATCCCTTTGCCTAATCACTACGCCGTCTTTCGATAGGTTATATTAGAACGTCACACGAAGATCCATCAGATTGAGCGACAGACTCGCCGTTTTTCCCGGACGACACTATACACAGGCCAATTTAGTCAGTATCGTAGACATTAAGAATAGGTAAGATTTATTTTTAGAACAAGTTTATTATGTTAAGAGAGCGATTATAACAATTTTATTTGATTGGCAATATTTATTTACTAAATATTGCTGGAACTAATCACTATTACTTCTCTCGTTACTTCTTATATACTCTTTTGATACAATACTACTAACATCCTGCGTTAGGCATATTAGTTTAGTCTGTAAAAAAAATGAATAGAAACGACATATTGACGACATACAAAAAGAATTACGCAAAAATTACACATAGGAGAAAATAAAAGAATGTAAAAGAAAATAAAGAATACAAGAAAATAAAAGAAAATAAAATGATTAGGAGATAATAAAAATGAATCTCGTCCTAAACATTGCAGCATTCCAGCATCTCGTCATTTTCTCACCTTCACTTTGGGCCTGTTCTATTCACGTGACTATTTCTACCATAACATTTCGTTCCGCTCATGGATGAGCTCCGGCGAATCTTTTAAGTTTTTCGGCCTCATAGTTCGAGCGCCCTTTTTTTTTTTTTATTTTTTTTATTTTTATTTTTTTATTTTTTTGGTTTCAATAAGCATAAAGCAAGGGTTGTATCTGTGCGATCCCCTCCCAGGACACGAGCCTTTCCGCAACTATCCAGTACCACACCCCGTTAAACAACGCAAGTTCAAATGTTTATTGGCCAATCAAAAATCATTGCAGTTTGTGTGTCATGCCTTTTAGTTAAAGGTAATGCCTCTAAACACTTCGTAAAACATCGTACCAACCATTAGCTCTTGTTTAGGAATCCTGTTTCTGGTTATAGCATGATATTGTCATTATATTAATTCCAAAAATAGCAGATAATATGATGTGCATATTTCAACCAAGTGCTACTAAATAAAAATTTGTACTATGTAATCTAAAAAAGTTTATCCAATTAAAAGTTCGAAAAATATACTTTATATCGTTTTAATGCTATCTATCTAAACAATCTAATTCAATTTTCTTAACACATTTAATAAAAATATCGACACAAGTTTGATATAATAATTATATTAATTAATTATTATAAATTTAGACAATTAGTACAGTTCGCAACGCTATAATATAAATATATTAAAACTTTTTTAAAAAAGTTTGCTTATACCCAAGCCTTCTTTGTTTTATACTACATGTTATATACATAAATACTCGTGTAACATTATATTAGAATTCAAATGTCTCTATGTTATTGTTGCAAAATCCAAATCTAGCTTGAATTTTTAGTTCAGGATCCAATAATTTCTGTTAGCCTACTGGAATAGTAACTTTAGAAAGAAGCACGGCATATAATGTCGCAAAATTTAAATTTGTGTTACTGGAATTAGATTATTTACTTATAATAGTGATATTGTCAAAGACCCCAATTTTCTAATGGATAAATTAAAGTATTTTCTTATAAATGTCCTGCATTTTTCTAAACAATATTATACTTATTTCTTTCGTTTGAAGTAAAAAAGATACTCAAAATGTCATACAATCCGACACCTCAAATGAACACTTATCCTCCTCAACAATCTCAACAAGTTACTTCGAAGAATAATACTTGGAAACATGATTTATTTTCATGCTTTGGTGATATTGGTTTATGTATGTGTTTATAATTTAAAGAATTAGTTTAAAATTTTATTGTATTTCTAAGCCGTAATTTCCTCTTTTTAGGCATTGTCACAACTTGGTTTCCATGTATAACATATGTAAGTTTTTTTTTCCTCAATATTAAAGGATTAAGTTCCTTCAGAACTTCCCGATAATTACATTATTATTATTTTTATAGGGGCAAAATTCCGAAAAATTAGGAGGAAGTTGCGTTGGAAATTGTCTCTTATATTCATGTATTCCATGTTGCTTATGCGTATTTGTTACCACGAAACGTTCAGAAATTAGAAATAGACAAGGAATCGATGTAAGTAAACTTTTTTTCAACGCATATTTTTAATAAAAATATTTGAATAAGAAGTTAATAATTTTTTATATTTATTTTTTTTATAGGGATCTTGCATGGGTGACTTTTGCACTCATTTTTTTTGTCATTGTTGTGCTCTTATTCAAGAAGGAAGAGAATTACAATAATTGTATTATTTGAAAGATATTCCTATTTTGCGTATTATATTTTAATATTTTTTTTTTTCATATACAGTATAATATTTTTTTCTTAGAAGAATTTTTCTATATATTAGTTCATTTATATAAACTTATTGGTTGTTGAAATTTTAATATTTAAATATAGTCAAATTAGAATCAACTTAAGTTACATAAGTTGTAAAAGAATTATAAAATTTTATCGAGTTGTTAAAGAATTCAAATTCAACTTACAATAAAATTATGGTGCTGTTACGATTAAATTATTAGATATGTGATTTTCAGGGGTTATAATTTACTTAGTACGATGGTGCATTCATTCAAGGTCTTTTAGTACAAATGTAAATGCAAATAATTATCCAAAATCATTTATATAAGAGAGACCTTTAAAACCTTCATAACGGAGGACGTCCCTTGACCCCTAAATAAATGAATAATGATAAATGTTAACATTGTACCTTACCCTTGAGTATCCATAACCATGCATTCTACGTTCAGGCTGGAGCTAAATTGTGCGTTGAGTTGTTGCTCTCCCAAACAGCCTGTAACCCTATGAGAAAAGTGACCCGGGGTGTGGCACGGAAAGTCGTTGTGAAAGCACTGGATGAAACGTTTTTTAGTGTTTCGGGCTAAAGTAATTTTCAAAATTCGAAATATTTTGGCAACAAGAAATAATTTAGCCGAAGTGAAATAATTTTGGGTCAATCCACAAAATTTATAGTATTTTTGCATTTCCATTTTTAGACGTCCGAAATATTTCTCTAGCGTAAAATTATTTCGAATTCTCTCGAAACACTATAGCACGTACATGTACGTTTTACGGAAAGGTATAGCACGTATATACACGTTATACGAATAGTACGTACGTACTTATTGGTGTGTGTCACACATATGCACAGTGTTTAAAATACAGAAATAACGTTTGAAATTTACCAGTACACACTGAAGAGGTCTGAACGGTTTTAGACCAAAAATTGTCCATAGGCTATGTCACACACTGGCTCAGGTCTAAATAATTTTTACAATAAACCCTAAATGAAAAGGCGTCAAAAGAGGCGCGGAAGATTTGGTCCGGGTTTTGGGCTATTCTTGGATTATTTGTTGGTCTTCGTGTCACGTAGCACATGATCGAGGGGGGATTAGATTAGGAATTTAGTATTTAGAAGTTATTTAGGAGTTTTTGAATTTTCTCAAACTTGAGATATCTCTTTATTAAAAGGAAAAAAGTAGCGCTTATATACTTTACAAGACACTAGTAAGTACAATTTGAACATATGTCTCTTATGCCATTAATTCGATAAATTCAATAAATTGGATATATTCCATAAATTGGATATAATTGTTACTATTGTAAATTGGGAGAGCAGATATCGTTGCATGGTTTAGCTCCAATAGTTAACAAGGTGCTGGGTTTAATAATCTAATCACTATAAGGGTAAGTAATATTGATAGGATTCAAATCCTATTTTTAGTTAGGTCAATAGTGGTTAATCAGAAGGGATGATAATTTAAAGGTGGATCGGAATAATATTTTAAATAAAAGCGAGTCAATCATAAACCTATAATTAATGTCAAGGCTAAATAGACTTTTTTGAATAATTAAGAACTATATTCTTGATAATATCTATTTTGAAAATATTACAATTTAAAGAAACTCAAGATTCATTTTGTGTTAATAAATTAACTCCTGATTTATTAGTATAGTGATCAAGCATTTAGATTACTTTTAAGTTATTAGTGTTATCTTTTATAATAGTAAGTTAGTTACTTAATCCTATATATCTTTATATAACATATTAGGATAACTTGTCAAATAGGATGTTTAGATTTGGCAAAAAGATTTTCAAGTTTTTGATTATTATTCTGAACTCTAGTCATATAGCTAGTCTTTTTAATATTATTGAGTCTCTAACTTTAAACACAAGATTAAACAAATAAGTTCTCTTTACTCAATAATATTACAACAATTACTCTTATTCAAAAAGTAAATAAGGTAGTATAATATTATTACAGAATTAAATTTATTAACTTAGTAAATACAAGTTAGAATTTATTAGTAATTTTATGATTAAAGTAAAGTTTAAAACTTTATATTATTAGTGAAAAAGTTTTATTAAATAAATGATATTTTTTTATTAAGAGCAAAAAACTCTGCTTATATTAAATTTACAATAATAAGTTTCATATAAGTTTTATATTTTTTTTTAACTCTTTTAATACTTATAACTCTTAAAAGAGACTTAAGACTTATTATTTTCTAAATATATTTATACTTTTAACTTTTAAATATTCTATTCTTTCTATCAGATTTTATCATTTAAAAATATTATATTATCTTCTTTCAGTCTAATTATTTCTTATATCTCTTTAAGATCTTATTACTCATAAGAGATATAAAACTAATTGTTTCTATAAAACCAGAATTTTTATAAAAGTTAAGAATCAACTTAGCTATTGAAAACAGGCAGTTTGGTCATTAAGATCAAACTGTTCTTATAATTAATTAGCAATTCGAACAACTCTATCAAAAGAAGTAGTTAGATTTGACAAGTAGATATTTAAAGCTTAGAATGCCTTTTCTACTACTAAAGAAAAGATCAATTATCACTTTAGAAGAAGAGTATAGTAATTATAGATTAATTAATAAGCTTCATAAAAATAACTTCACTATACTACTTAGTAGAGTATCAAAGAGTAGATTAATTAAGAAAAATATAGGTTAAGTAATAGAATTTATTTAATAAGGAGTTCAAGTTTTTATAAGTAAACTATTCAAAGTTATTTTTATTTTAAGTGAATATGCTTTAATTATATACAATTTATATTAATATATTTTATATAACTCTTTTTTTACTTATAATACTTAAATATATCTTAATATTTTAATATTCTAAATATACTAAAATTAATAAAACCTACTAATTTCTTATATAACTTTTTCTTCTTTAATCTTTTTTTTCTACTAAAACTCTTATAACTTTTTTATTATATAATAAGTTTTAGCTCTTTTATTTTTAGATAATCTATTAAGAGTTAGAGATCTGCATACCTATATGCAAATACTGCAGTATATTAACTTCTAATTCTCATATATCTTTAGAATAACTTTTATATTTTATATTTCTTCTTTACTTATTTTACACCTCTAATATAAAATCTTTATATATATAAGAATTAGAAATTAATACTAGCCAAATCAATGTTTTATTGATAAAGAACTACAATTACTATAGCACTTCAGATAATTGAATAACATAATCTCAATTATTACAGTATATCAGATAATTAGACAAACAGAACTACAACTAACTACAGTATATTAAGTTAGCTAAATATAATAATTACTATTATTATAATATATCAGATAAGACTTAATAAATATCTCTAATTTTAAGTTTTACTAGTTATAATATCTATTTTTATTATTAACTATCTTTTCTTCTTTTGTATAGTACTTATTAAACTTACTAGTATTAGGCTATATTATATATAGATCTTTCAAGATTACATTCTCAATTCTAAATTTAGTTATTATTAATATTATAATATTATATTTTGCAAGTAGGTTATTAAATCTTATAATCTTTAATATTAGAATTCTTTGTTCAATCTCATAGTCTTGAATATTAAATTTATAGTCAATCTTATAGTTATAATTAAATAAAAACAAGTAGTTTAGTCACTATAACCAAACTGATCTTGTTTTTATTTTTGAATAGCAATCTAGATGACTATATTAAAAGTGGTAGTTATATTTGGCAGTTAGATATTCTAAAACTTAGATCACCTTTTCTACTACTAAAAGACAGATCAATTATTACTTTAGAAGGGAGAGATATAGTAATCATAAATTAATTGATAGACTTTGTGAGATAACTCTACTATACCACTTAGTAGAATATCAGAAAGTAGAGTAATTAAGATGAGTATAAGTTAGATAGTAGGATTTATTTAATAAAGAGCTCAAGTTTTTATAAGCAAACTATCAAGAGTTGTTTTTTATTACAAGCAAATACATTTTTATTA